CTCCTACTGAGGGTAGCGATGGAGAGGCAGAAGAAGGGACTAAGCATAAACTACAAGAAAACAGAATGCATAGTCATCAGTAAAAGGATGAGCTCAAAATGCGATTTGCAAGTCGGGAACAATCGAGTCAAGCAGACGCGCAAGTTTAAATATTTGGGAAGCGTTCTGACAGAATCGACTCTGAGATCCTTAGACGTATTGGGATGGCCAAGGACGCATTCCAAAAGCTGGGAAGATTATTGTGAGATAGAAGAATTTCTTTGGTAACGAAGAAAAGAATACTAAGTAAAAAAAATCAATATTTTTGTATATTGTATTTTGTAGAATGGTCCAGTTCCACGTACCATGTAATTTTCATTTAGCTCAATTTTCCTTTAAGTCAACTCTACAAGTTTGGTACACCACTGCAGCTAATGTTGGACGATTTCCTCAAAGTTGAAGAAATTCGAGACGACGGAGATGTGGTTCTACAGAAAGATGCTAAGGATAACATAGACCTAGAATGTGAGCAACGATGAGGTCTTATGCAAACAAGGAGGAAGCTTATACTTAACATCAGCAAAAGGCAGCGGAAATTTCTGGAACACATAATGAGGAAGGAGGGCTTGGAGAATCTGATTCTCACAGGTTGAATAGAAGGAAAGAGAGACAAGGGAAATCAAGACACGAGATACCTAGCGGCCTTAAGCGAGTGGATGACAGAACGTGGTCTGGGGTAGGTTGCAGAGGGAAGTATCTTGTTGAGAGCTGCAAGGGAGAGAAGGAGGTGGAGAGCTATGATCGCCTACGTCCTGAAAGGACACACCGCGTAGAAATAAGAAAGAAGTTCAGAACAATTACGATGAAAATATTGAGAAAAAAAAAGTCAGAGGGAATTCACATTGCTGACGCGGAAAGTGACTGAAGCCGAGATGTAAGGCTAGGACGAATAACATTGCAGATCCTTCTTTGAATTTTATCAACGATCATTAAATATACAGCAGGAACACCAGACAAAATAGGGCAACACTATTCAAAGAATGGACGAATAGTAGATTTATAAATACGTAAGATAGATTCTAGAAAAGAAAAATTGTCTCGCACGGCACCGTGAACCAAATTTCCTAGCTTGTGGACCTAGCAGGTGATACTATATAATCTTTCAACTTTATGTCAGCCAAAATGTTATCCAAAGAAATCTCACTATCTTTCTCCTGGAGGTTAGCAATAGTCTTGCAGATGGAAGGTAAAAAGTTGTCTCTTAGACTGTTAATAGCAGTTTCGTTTCGTAGTCGTTAAAATTAACAAGTCATACCATGCCCCAGTTAGCAACAAAATGTAGATCAATTTTATGTCAGCTACGCAGCGACCCTAAGACCACATTCGGTCATAGTTATGATGATCGTGGTGATGCTTAAACCCGGACTTGTGTTTGACATGATTTTTGTCATAGAATAATCATATATTTCTTCACATAAAGTGTTAATATATCGGCGAATTAACGAAGCTAATCTAATTATATATGCCACACAAACATGTTTTATTAAATTAAACTGTCAAGTCCTTGTCGATTTAATATTTTATTACATTTTTTCCAGTCTGCGTTTAATTGCAGCATATTTATATCAAATTATTCTAATTATCATGTAATGCCATCTACGCTTGACTGCCGTTCTGCATTTCATTGGCAGTTGATTTAAACGGTTTACATCTGGCTTCATCACCCTTGAGTTCATACTGAGAACATCCCTCGACAGACATCATCTAAGTTTTATTTTATCACCAAGACCCTGAAATCAATATCCAGCAAAAATATTGATAGTTATCGACTATGCAGATGGCTTAGCTATCACTACAGACACATTTACCAATGACACTGTTCTACATCCTTTTGAAAATTGTGCCAATGATGTTGAACTCCGTCAGTGCCTCGAAAACAGAATTGAAGAACTTCAACCAGCTCGGCTCAATACAAACTAAGGTGGATCAAGAAAATCTCTCGAATCGTTTACATACCTAGGAAGCGAGATAATTTCTATTGAACTTCGCATAGCTGAATCCTGGTCCGGCTTGAATAAAATGCATGTAAACTGGAAAAATGATCTACCAGACAAACCCAAATGGAGATTCTTTCTAGCCACTGTAGGTTTCAATGTATGGTGCCACTGCGTGTACAATAATTTGAGTTTAAGCTTGATGGAACCTTCACTTGGATGCTGGGAGCTGTACTTAATATCTCTTGGAGTCAACATCCAATTAAATCACAGTTCTATAGACCCGCCCCTCATATTTTTACAATATTACGAAGAATACGACTTGCATGACACTTCTGGCGGGTAAATCAAGAACTCGCGCGTGATTATATGTCACAAAGCCTAAACTAGTTACATTCCATAACTACCTCCAGTCACGATAAACGGATGTTCCCGCGAGGAGGCACCGTGCTTTGAGGGAATATTAGGCTTCAAACTCACCCCTAACCTCAAATGGAACTCTTATATACCATGCCCCAGTTAGCAACAAAATGTAGATCAATTTTAGGTCAGCTTCGCAGTGACCCTAAGACCACATTCGGTCATAGTTATGATGATTTTTTTTGTGTGTGTTAGTAATCCAAATGTTTCTTGAACTGGCAATGAAGAGTTCTGCGTGAAGGGTCATAAAACATCGCTAAAGATGCAGGTAAAATGATCGGTTCCCTGTACCGATCCAGTAAGTACCTGACTCCTCATCATATCCTCTAGGTTTATAAGAGCCAGATGAGGCCGAAAATGAAGCACTCTTGCCATATTTGGGCGGGAGCTGCCTAGACCTCATTTTCCAGTCTTGATACAGTTCAAAAGTATATCCGAGCCCTTGCTGGACAAGAATTATATTCCAGCCTCCAAATGCTCACAGGCGGGATGTGACGAATGTCTCACAGTTCTATCGCTACTACCATGGAAAGTGCACCGACGAAGTGCGTCTCCTGAATCCAACAGGTCTAACTTCCATGTCTATAACCTGCCATGCCAATTACATAGTAGAATACTACCGACTTTCCCTTTTCTATTCCATCGGCGAGAAGTAATTTCTACTCAAACAGCTTCTTCCCGCGGACCACTGCATAATGAAACATTCCCTGTTTAAAACTAGAGTTAACCTTTATCTTCCTCTCATATCTATATAAACTACTCCTTAACGTAACCCTCTAGCTCGAGTGGCTACCGTACCTTGGAAAGAGAGAACCTTACTGTAAAAAAAAAATATGTGAGAAAAATGGCTTGTAAAATCCAATGCCTCAAAGGCTAACCTAGTAATATTTCTTCATCACTAAGCAGATTGTTATAATGATACAACTTAGAACAATCAAACTATTTCCCTTTAATGACTGGAATCAAAATGCTCGTTTCCACTGCATTAGGCAAACTTCATTTTATTTAAGATTTTGAGCCTCAAACTAAACCCCGTCCTTAAGTGGAAATTTATATAAAATTCATCGCTAAAGACGCAGGTAAAATGATCAGCTCCGTTTACCGTTCCAGTAAATAACTGACACCTCAGACTATCGTCTATTTTAATAAGAGACAGACCAGGCAGAAAATGGAGTAATTTTGCCATATTTGGATCGGAGCTGTCCAGTCCTCTCTTTCCAGTCGATAGAATTCAAAAGCGTCTCCGAGTCTTTGTTGGAAAAGAATTATTTTCCTCTCTCTTTCTCTCTCATAAAGAGGATAGGGCAAACCTCTCATTACTCTATCGATACTTCAATGGAAAGTACTCGGACGAACTACATTCCTTGGTTCCACCAGGTCTGGCCCTCACAGTTAGAAGCTGACATGTTACTTACATACTAGCAGACCACCCACATTCCATCTATATTCCATCAGCGAGCAGCAAGTTCCACTCGAATAGCTACTTTCCTCGAACCACTGCCCTGTGGAACAGATTCCCAAGACGATCCTTCCCCGATCATTACAATCATAACCTGTTCAAGTTTAGAATTAACCTTTATCTTAGCTTCCGATCCATATAAACCACCCCTGAACGTAACCCTGTACTTCGGGTGGCCGCCAGGACTTGTACAGTGTGAACGTACCATAAAAA